CCCAAGAAATAAAGCACAGAAAAATACAATAGGGGATTGCTTAGGGAAGTGTGCATTAGTGATAACTCACAGTTCCAGGTATGTATTATTGGACGACAGTCAATGGTTTCTGCAACACAACAACGAAGAAATACAGGAGTCTTGCTTGCAGAGGAACGCTGGTATTCTGGAGGGCACCGCTGGAAGCAGGAGATCGCAGAGCAGTTCATACAAGTCTCACAGAATGATGGTTGTAGCCTGTAATATGTATCGTAGCAGAACACCAGGAAAGCAAGTTGAAGTGACGGACACCAATTGAAATGATCTACCCAAACTGTTTATAGTCTGTCCAATTTATAGGCAGTGACACCACCTGGGTTTCTACATGAGCCAATCAGAATGTAATCTTGTTAGCAGCTGTGTCACGTAGGCAACTCAGTAAATCATAAACATCCTTTGTTAATCAAATAACAGCACACCTGGTAGATTCCAATTCTCCCCCAAAGTTGTAAACACCCTTTGTTATGTAAATCACAAGCACACCTGGTAGAACCCACTGTCCTTCCAGAGTTGAAAACAAGTATGACCTATCAATCACCTTTATGACAGTTATCACAATACACATCGTTTCTTCCCATGATTCCATGCACACTTCCATTTGCAGGGTTTGAGGTAATATGACAAAACATTAAATAAAGGATGCTGACAACTAGTTAGAGGCGACCGGGACACGATTTTCTAAGAACTGATTAACGCAAGAAAAAACAAGAAAAATCGACATATTCAATCTAAAATACAAATAAATATTATATATATATAACATGACAGCATTTCCCCGATTGTGTTAAAATAAAGAGCCCACGTTTTTGACATTGTTGAAGTCTAAAAGCTTCCAAAACAATTGACACTCCACACGGGAATGCACATAATCTATAAATATATACCATTATTTAAATAGTGTTTGATATGACAGCTATCATTGATTGAACAGACATTACTCGTATGTAGAGTGTAACGACTTTGCTGTCCGATAATAGTGTGCAATCTGTAATGTAACATACAAAATACAAGAAGCACAATATAAATATATAAATGGTAAAGTGTGACCTAAAATATATATCTGCTATTAAGAGTGGGAACCTGGTATATTACGCACACATTATCATAGTAAATATTGAATATAAATCACCATTATCAGAGATTTTATGACGCCACAGCTTTACATTATGACAGACTTTAAAACTTTATTTGCAAGTATATTTATTTCAACAAAATGCCCCCAAATTTAATTATTTTTTTAAAATTATGATGGGGGTAACTTGTAACAACAACGACGACGAACCCCTCACAGTGTCATATTGGATTCGGAGAAGGGTCTAGGTGTGGTAATGTTCAATTGCAGCTCATACATTGTCTTGTCATGCACCTTCTCCTCATCTAATATGGCGGTACGTAATAAACACAATATAATATAATAATAATAATCCGATATATAAATTACCATGACAAATGTGACACGCTCATTAAAAATGCAATATGGACGAGAATATACCATTTTTAATATTCATGTTTGCGATCGTATATCGATAGATGCACTGGCAATGACCTACAAACACTATTCTTGTCGTACATCTCTCAGTATTAGTTTTATGAAACAATGAAATTCAATTAATATATATATATATGATTATATAATTAATTAATTACAAAACTGACACAACATCACGTACTGAGTTATGCGAAGTAGAAAAAAACTAAACGTACACATACAAGCAGTATTACATAACTGTGTAAAACGCATAATACAACGGTATTTGTGCAGCACATACATCTGATTGTGATATGTAACGACATCAACCCTATCTGTATATTGACAAATAACCATGGATACTAAGCCTGGGTTCAGTCGGCTCACGGGGTTGAAGTTTCCTTCATGCTAATACAATGACTATGATGTAAACCTATGACCTAATCGCATCTATCAATATCAAACGTGGTAAGGATTTCTTACACCTCACCTCACTCTCACTGCCCTTATTAAGATATATTTGACAAGATGGCCATTATATTAAATACTTTTGGATGGGGATATGTATACTCGAATAATCTGTTTTGTATTAACAGTTCTTCGTCACTATGAAATGACGGCACCTTATAAAATAAAGCATTCTGTTATTAATGTACATGGCCTTTTATCTAAACGTATGCTTGATACAATTCTTGTGCCGATTATAAAAGATAAAACGGGTGATGCTACAGATACAAATAATTACAGACCTATTGCCCTTGCTACATCTATCTCTAAAGTGTATGAACAGATTATTTTGTCTCGATGTGAAACTTTTCTTACAACTACTGATCATCCGTAACTCTACTGATATGTGTATTTTTGTATTGAAAGAAATTGTAAATTTTTTATAAAACTCATGTAAATTTTTATAAAACAGTCCAGTTTTCCTCTGCTTTTTAGATGCTTCTAAAGCTTAGGATAGGATTAATCAATGGGCCTTGTTTCGGAAGGAATATGCCTGTGTTTCTAGTCCGAGTACTTGTATTCTGGTATAGAAACCAGGAATTCTCTGTGAGATGGGGACTATCTTTGTCTATGTCTTTCCCTGCTTTAAATGGTGTCAGACAAGGGGGAATATTATCTCCTCGTCTTTTTGCAGTGTATATGGATAAACTGAGTAAAGATCTAATGACTGAGAAAATTAGGTGTTTTGTAAGTGGGCAGTGTATGAATCACCTATTTTATGCTGATGACATTGTATTACTTTGTCCGTCAGTTAAAGGTCTTAAAAGACCATGAGGTTATTACGTAGATACTTCAAAGTATGCACGAAGACAGTACAGCGGCAGTATCGACCGACGCGCAGCGGAGGTCGATGCGACAGCGTACTGTCTGTACCGCAAAATTACGGCACGCTGTAACCTATGGCGTTACGGTGTCAGATGTATAATAATAGGTGCTATTTGCTGTATATATTCTATATCAAACAGTACTATTTTTAATCCTAAAAAGTCTGTATGTATTTCTATGGAACCTCCTCGTTGTAGAATTAGACAAATTCCATGCGTATTTTTGAATGGTGTTGCAGTACGATTTGTCGACAAGCACACCTATTTGGGTGTGGTCATTAATAAACATGGAGATGATAGTGACGATATTAATAGACAAATGAACGCTAGAGCAAACTGGCGTATTCGAAGATTTGCTTACTGCTCTTCAAAAATAAAAATTAAATTGTTTCAGAGTTACTGTATGACTATGTACTGCTCCCATTTGTGTTCTATACATACTAAAGGACAGATTAATCGAGTTCGTGTTGCATATAATAATGCATTTAGAATTTCACTGAAGCTTGGCAAGAGGGATATTAGTATGACTCAAACTCTTGTATATAATCGTGTCACTACTTTTGAAGCTCTTCGTATAAAAGAAATGACGAACTTCTTTTTAAGAATTATAAAAAGTCAGAATGCAATAATTACAGCTATTTATAGCCAAGATGTAATAAAATTATTATTATTATTATTATTATTATTATTATTATTATTATTATTATTATTATTATTATTATTATTATCATTATTGAAATATATACATCTACATCTAGATTACATTTGAGTATCATCTCGCCGAGCCACTTGGCTGTAATTCATTCGGTATTTCCATTTTATATTTTTCCTTGTTTGAATTCTGCATAATTGTTGTTTGAGTAATCGTTGAAGGTCCTTCACCAGGCGATACTCTGTTTGAAAAATGTGTAGCGGAACGCGCTACGGCCTTACCCGACGCAGTAGCACCTTCGAAGTGCGTAGCGGCATTGATGTCGACTTCTTTCAAGAAGTGCACGGCGTAAATTTTAGGCATATACAGACACACTAATGTCACTGAAGCATTCAGTATCATCGCCAGTGAGAGAACTGTCACTTTAAAATAAGACCTGTTCGTCGTGAAATACGTAGGTATAAAAGCCAGCCATATTACCAATGTTGTATACACGCTGACAGTGATGAAACGTGTTTCATTGTAGTTGCTAGGTACCTTCCTTGCTTTGAAAGCATAGTAAGAGCACATGACAACAAGTAATACATTAAAGCAGAGTGAGGTGATGACTTCATTTTCAGAGATATTGCAGCTTAACTCCACATGTTTTTCTTTAGGGACCGGTACAATAAGGATAGCCTCTGGTGGGAGAACGATCAGCCACGTAGTACTAATGATGACCTATAGTGAAAATTAAAAATACTTTTCTTTCAGTAAAATATATACACGTACATTATACAATTGTTTGCAATATTTGCTGTAGATGGTTTAGGCACAATGGTATTTCCCAAGTGTCTACAAATCACATTGTGAGGTGTAAACTACTTATCGTTCTCTCTCCAACTAATTTAAAAAAACGATTACTGGTTTTCTAATTTCCGCACATACATAAAGTAAGACAATTACTACGGACTGTAAAGGGTTGACTCTCTTTTTGTGTTGTTGTAGATTTAGCGATAACAAATATAGCCACGACAGAAAAACAATGCATAGATGTTATTCA